GTCATCGGCTCCTTACCAGCTCACCTCTCACCGCACATGTTTGGAGGTACGGCCCCTTCCCTCCCTGGCTCCCGCAGGCCGCACGTGGGCCGCGGCTGCGCTTATTTTTACCTTTCTCCTTTTTCTCCTTCAGCCTGAGCGCTGGGGGTTCGCTGCGCGGCCAGGCCGGGTTATCCCCACTGGGGAGAGGGGGAGAAATCGCCTGTTAACCCCTGCAGCGCCGCTACGGCGCGACTCTTGTGGGTGGTTTTTAAATGCCCCGTGCACCCTCACCTCTTAGCGGCTCCCCAGTACAGAAAGCTCTTGTTTGTCCCCGGAGGTGAAGGTAGCAAATATTGTTTTAAAAACAAACGGACGCAGCAGCCCTGGTGCTTGTGGTTTTTAGTAGCAGGAAGTCAGGAAGAGACCCGTTGCTAAATGTAGTTCTGTCTGGGGACTCGAGTGGTGAGCAGTTTTTAAAGGCCAAAAGTCAAAGGATCTCAAACGAACAGACGAGTATTTGAAAAACAAGGGAGTTAATCGCTTTTGGAGTGATTGTTAGTATAAAATTGTAATTTTTATGCCTACAAATAGTCCCACCTACTGCTTACACTTTAATTGGATAAATGTATTAATGAAAAGTGTATTTTTAACCCCAGTAAACTGCTACTTTAGATAATGGTTAATGTGAGTCCTCAATTTGGACAGAACTTTAAAAAATTGAGAACAGTTTTTTAAGGAAAGAAACTAATTAACACAACTCTGCCTACGAGACGCAGTAAAAGCCTAGGTGTTTTTGAAAACCAATGTTGACTAGAGTTTCGGGAAAAGTCACTTTTTGAAAAATGGAAATTTTAGTAGCGAGATGATGTGTTTTTATGTAGAAACAAGGGGAAGGGTGCACCTAATCTGAGGAAAGTGAATTCGACCATATTCAGTTGTTTTATGGTGATCTACTACGTCAAAACGGTTAATAGTAAATGAATTAAGACTCCCTGCCCTTCCCGTTTCGTGAAAAGAAATGTAAGTTAAATCTGGTTAGAGAGAGGGCTAAAGAAGATAAACATTTCCCTGTCATTGTGTTATGTTATGCATCATGATCTTACATTCACAGTTGAGCACAGATGAATAGTGAAAACAGCATCTCCATTTCTGTGCCCCCTTTACTCATACGTTAATAAGCGTGAGAAGTTTGAGTAGGTAGTTGGTAAAGGGGACTGTTCAATAATGTAATTTGTCTGCTCTGGTGTTCTGTACTATTAACGTACATGTTAGTGTAAATTAATGGGAATGACTAGTTTTTTCCATCTTTTTAATACTGCTTTGCACATTCAAGATATGGAACAGCTCTTTAAATACCTTACTTTAATTACTTCTTATAAAGTGATTTTTGCTATGTAAACTAAAAATGTTGACGTTTCCTAAGATTTGCCCTTAAAAGAAACTTGTTTTTGAGAAAAAGAATAGTGCTGTCCGTACTGTGATTTGATCATAATTAACACAGTTGAAGGTAGTGTAGTCACCTCATGGAAGAATAACAAAAGACAGTTTCTTGACAGTGGGAGATTAGTGCAAGAATAAAGGCTAAGGTGTTTTTTTAATTATATTTTTAAGATTAAAATTTGTATTTAGCATTTATGATATGTATATTTAACATCTTGCTAAAGAGGGGGAATAGGAAAAGGTTTGTCAAATTAATAGTTCTTATTTCTTTGTATATTGATTGACTGTCTTAATGCATTTTTTTAAAGGCCTGATAATTTTTTTTTAAACAAAGTGTATCTGTATGGGTTTATTTTCTTAAAATAAATATGTTCCATTCAGAGCAGGGGGCAAATAGTTGACACCCATGCTATTAATTCATAGTAAAATAGCAAATGAAGAAGACATAGTTGCTGAAAGTTGGAGAGGTAAAGCATTTATCTTTTTTTCTTATCTAAATTCCTAGATTTGTGCACTTAGTCTTTTAGTGCTTTTGGTGTTAGGATAGTTGGTGTCTAGTGGAAGCACACAAACACTGAGGAACAGTGCCAACCTTTCTTTACCAGGTCTCTGGAGAGAATGGAGCTCTAATGTCGTAAGGCATCTATTGTATGCAGTTAATTAACTTTTTCAGCTGTGCATTTAGAATGGGAAGTTTGAGAAAACAGGCACTCACATAATCTGTGTTTGGTGGTTCAGATGAGGAACCCTAGTTGAGAAACTTTGGAAGGGATCCAAGAAATTACCTGTCCTCATTACATGATGGGAACTGGTCAGAGTGCCAGTACCTTAAATCCTAGTTAAGACTGGGAACAGGGAGATAGAATACATTTAGGTAAAAAAGCATCTTTCTAGTGGCATTTGCTTTAAAGAGATTTTTACCTGTATTTCACTGGATGGGCTCATCAGGAAAACTTAATGGAAGCATGTTTCTCATTATCCTGAGATTTAAGGAACCAGATGGTGACTTTTATGATTTAAAAAAATTAGACTTTATTATATTTCAAATTGACTTAATTTTTTTTAGTATGTATTAACGTGTTTATTTCTGAACTAGTGAGAATTTCTTTCTTTAATTTTGTAAAACTGTTATTTTGATATTGTTGTTTCCTAATAGGAAAATACAGTACCAATAAGATTCAAAATTAGCATTCTGTTGTGGGCTCTCATGTAATTTATAGAAAAGGAAAGCCTAAACAATACCACTTTCTTTTTTAAATCTAGGAATCTGGCAAGTTGAATTGTTACTAGTCACATCACAATTAATTACCAAATTAAATGAGCTTTTTATGTGTTGGTTTTATGTTTTGCTCCCTTTGGGACATATATTTTGGCTATATTCACTCTTGTTTAATTCTCTCTAGAGAACCAGAAGAGAGGTGCTTAATTCAGATATTTCAGTTTACAGAAATTTCCTAGAATTTCTTAGAACTGAGTCGTTGTGTATCAGAATATGATTATAATACATACAGGAGTTTTTAGGTCAAGTAGGTTTTTCTTGTTTTTGTTATTTTCAGAGTGCTGAGTTTAATACTGTTACAGTGAATGAAAACCTTTTCTTGTTTATCACCTTGTTTTTAAAACAGATCTTTACGGGGAATAGTCCTAATCTTTAAAAGAGTTGGTATCTTAGGATTTTTTTGGCTTCATTTTATTTCCACATTTTTTTCCACTATTAAGTTTATAATGTTCATAAAATCAATTATTATGGGTGGTAAAATAGTCTGATGATCCAGCAAGGATGGTGGAGGTAAATTGGACTATAAAATTACACTAGTTGATGGAGATCATTTCTAGAGAAGTCATGTGGGCTTCTCTTACATCTATCAGTCTGGAAGTGAAAGGGTGAAATGAATTAATCTAGATAATTTATTGATGGTACTAGTTTGCTTTGGCCTCCTCCTAATTAACTGGCTTGAGTTTGGGCGTGTTGTATCCAGGAGTATTTCATTAGTCTGATTGTAATTCACGTGCCTCTTGTTAGGAAACATGCTTCCTTTCATCGAAGGAGTGTAGGTTATCACTTAAAACTGAATATGTTAAATAAAATCTGTACTTCTAGGCAGATTTATTTTTCTTAAATTTCAAGATGCATGTACGTTCTTCAAGGGTAACGTATTAGATTATCTGCATTAATTAACTGTATTGAATTGTTCTCAGTCAAGTTCTCAGTCTTTTTAACAGTATCTAGTGCCAGAATGTTTGAATTGAGGATATTGTGATTAATCTACTTTCTATTCCTGAATGTTCTTTTATTCAAATGAAGGCTTTTATGGGGTGATAGTAAAGAAATGTCTGCTGCTTCTTAAGAAAAATGACTCAACCACCAACCCATCACTCCCCCCCCAAAGAAACCAAGAACTCTGGTGGTTAATGTTTCTCACTTGTAATCTCACATATCTTTAAACTCTAGGAGATACCTTGTGTTGTATGCTTTGTTTTGCTGAAGTTGGACTCTCTCATGAAAGTTTCTGCTTTAGAAATATTTTTGAAAGTTCTCTTGACTGTGAAGTGGAAGGTGAGCTGAAGGGAGGAGTAGTTTGTGCTGCACTGGACAGAGCTGCCTGACCTAAGTACCTTTGATGCTTAGCCAGTAAGAGCTCCATTGTTTTACTAACAGCTACTGTCTCCAGCAAGTTGGCCTCCCCCAACAATTTGATTCACCTGGTAACCAGCAAGTAGGTTCTTATTTTCTAGTTACTGATACCACTAATTAGATACCAGTTTTTTTCCATACTTATTATTTATCTTGTGTTTACAAGGAGAATTGCCTTAATGTTATATTTACTATATACACTGGTATGTGTTCAATTGGGTATATAAGCACATGGGTTAAAAAAAGTATGGGAGCCGCATTACGTAGCAAAGTACTTCCTAAATGTTTTAATTCTGCATGTATGTACTTGACCAGTATTAATCTGTTCTACGCTTATTTAAGTGTTTAGAAATTGGGGAAAACATACCCTTTGTGTGAACAAAGAGTTCAGAAATACATTAGGTTCTGA